GGGTCGCCAGCCGGCCCGGCAGGGGCTGGATTTGGGTGTAGACGGAGCTGATCACGGGGGTGACTTCGGAGATGCAGTTTGTAGGGGGAAGCCGGAGGGGGCGAAGGTGTTCTCCTCCCATCAGTGACAAGGAGCTGCCGTAAGAGGGGTCGAGGGGGTGGTGGGCCGAGACCATCTCCACGTCCTTCTCGAAGCCGGAGTTCACGTCGAAGGGCAGGTCTGAGAGGGTGAATCGCATCTGCTTCTCCCCTGCAGGGAGGGAGACCAGCATCAAGACAAGCAGCACCGACGCGCGCTGCTCAGAGGCCTGGTTTTAGCAACTCTCCAGGTCCTTTTCCCTCCTGGCGCTGCGTGCAAAACCTGCCCCACGCCAGCCCAGGGAAGCCCTCCCGCGCGGGGATCGTGGGGATGAAAGGCGCTATGCAAACACTGGTGGCATTCGTAAGTGCAGAGTCTCGCTCTTGGGGGGTCCTGGCCAGGCGCTCAAGCCCTGCTCCAGCGACCAGGGGCCTCTCCTCACCCTCCTCTCTCCTGTCTCTGCCCGGGAAGCAAGGGGGCATCCCCTTACCCACGAATTTCTGAGGTGTCGATCGTTTCCGTTTGGTGAGGCTGTTCGCCAGCCGGTCAATAAACGTCGGCCGATCGGATGAGGGGTGAAGCAGAGAGTCCGGCACTATCTCCAGGTCTCGCATCTCGTCACCTGGCAAGACAAGGGAAACCCGTTCAGCCAGCAACCGAGGGACAGGCGCTCTGCGACCCAGGCCGGAGACTCCACGGCCAGCGCTCGAGGCACGCTGCTCCTGCCCTCTTCTAGCTGGGGCAGCCGGGACAGACCTACGGAAAGGCTCCCGGGCTCCCTGGTCCAGGTCTAGAGGTGAATCGATCGTGGGGAAGCGCCAGCAGCCGCTCACCTCCCTTCTCTGTCGAGCTGGGCCCGTTCCTGCTGCTTTGGGGAAGAGGAACTGGCTTCGACGGTTTGAAGTGCCCTCACTTTTATTGCTGGCTCTCAACCCCAGCCCAGAGCGACCTGCCCCATGTTGCTGCTGGTGAGGGCAACTCTGCCGTCCCTGTGCCCAGGAGGTTACAGATCAGCTGGTTAAAGGGTCCGTACAGCCTTTAACTAACCTCACCGTAAATACCAGTGACTGTAGGAGGATCAGGTCTCGCTCCAAAAGGTTGAGGAGCCAGAAACACCCAGGGTTTGCTTCTTTGCCAACATAGCAAACACAGGAGGTCTATCTCCAGGCTCCGAGGAGGAGGAAAGAGAACGTGCTCCCAAGTCACCCCGGTCTGTTTGCAGACACCTGTCTGCAAGGTTAAATCCTCTAAACCGCTGTGGCATAATTGAGTTTTGTTATTTATGGAAAACACACCCAGTAGCCCAGTAGGTCTTGCACTGGGATTATAGGACAAGGATGTGTTTCAAATCAAGACACTTGAAGAGTGGCAAGGAGAAGAACGAACGAGGTAACACTTTGCACTTCCACAGGTTTGCGGCATTAACCAAACGCACACGCATAGCACCTTTCATCCCAGGATCACCGGGGCACGGGAGAGCTTTGGGGCTCCCACTCCGGCTGCCTGGGGCATCACCCCTCTTTTCTGGTGGAAAGGATGTGCCCACAGCTCGACCCTGTCAGTCGACAACAGGGCTGGAAAGTGAAACCACGTCCCGGTTTCCTACCCCGTCATTACCCCTCCAGTCGTCCCCAGAGCCAGGAGGACGTGGAGACGCCCCGCGACTCACCCGCCGGTCGCCCCGCGGCACTGACCTTGCTGGCTGGCCAGCGACTGCGGTTCAGTGTTCAGACTCTGCAGGTAGTTGTGGCACCGCTCCTTGTGCTCCTCCAGCGTGCTCTGCTGCTTGTAGCTCCGGCCGCAGTAGTTGCACTTGTAGGGCTTGCCGACTGTGGGGGAGGAGACTGCAAAACATGAAAACAAGATCCTGGCCGTAAGAACAGATATATTGCAATGAAGCCGCTGCAGTCACCTGCAGCCCTCGTGAAAGAGCCTGGGAAAAGCCTGGGAACGAGGAGGAGTCAACGAGAGAGAAAAGCAGCAGGGCCCATCTGGTGCCAGCAGGGCAGGAATCGCTGCAACAGGCAGCGCTGCAGCAGGGCAGCGACCCTTGCTGCCAGCCCGTCTGCTCACCTAGATGTGTCGCAAGAGAAAAGACCTTCTCGCGAGCACCAAATCTTGCGTGTTTTGCTACCTCAGTAGAAAGTGTGCTGTCAACACTGTCGGGAGCGCAGTGAACTGGCTGCAGCTGGCTCTAGAGTATATTCCAAGCAACAGTTTCCAGAGTGCAGAACAAGACCCCAAACTTCCAGTTCTCAGCTTCTCACTCGGCCGTTCTCCTGATCGCCGTATACCTACACAGAGTTACTGAGCGCCCTGGCAGCTCGCGCCCTCCAGCTCCCATCTGCCTCCTCAGCTACTGTTCCCGGTCAGAGAGCAGCAAGGAAAGGGCGGGATGGCCCTCGATTTTAAAAGACGGAAGGCTATGAAAATAAACTATAATTTGGCTGAACATCTATTACAAAACACCTCTGACCTGGCTTTTACCTACGCTCTGCTGCCCTCAGCAGCCCCTGGCAGCTGCCCGTCCACGCGCCCCACGCTCCGCCGTGAGCGCGGCAGGTCTGCAGCAGCGGGCAGCCCCGATGGCAGGGGCGATATTTAAGCAGGGCTGCTGGAGCACGCTGGAAATCCCCCCGACTTTTTAAACATTGCTAAGCATTTCTTAGTCCTCCATTCGCCGCAAAGCATTCAGCGGTTTGGCCAGCGCTTGGCTGCTGCGCGGAGCATGCGCACCCCGAGATCCGTGATAAGACCGCTGTCAGACATGTTTTTACTCTCATCTCTCCCAATTTTCTCACTTCTGGCTGAAAATCATCGAAGTCGCCCAGGGTCGCCGTGCAGCCTCGCTCGATGGCGGCTGCCAGACAAAGGAGCGCAGCCACAATACGCCGCCGACCCCGGCGGGGCTCCCTGCGGCAGGGCGCCCCCGCCA